AGCAGGGCTGGTGCCGGCTAGTAAGCGGATAAAGTCCCTCTGCTCTCTCTCTGTGTTTCAGAATGACTGAAGCAGAAAGACGGTGTCGAGTGCATGCGAGTCTGTATGTGTGTACCGCAGCATGCTGCGCTTGAGCGCCTGCATGAATTTGAGAATCTGTGATTGCACGGCTGCCCATCAGTCAGTGTAACAGTACAGAGCGCAAGGACAGGCCGTGTGCCAGTGCACGCGTGTGTCTGTGCATCTGTGTGTGTCGGGATTCCAGAAGCAAAGCATGTGCGTCTGTGGAAGATCAGCTCCTGTCAGAAACGAGGGCGCTATGACATACTCTTCCTCCTGCAGCCATCTGTGCCTCCTCCTGCCGGCTGCTCCCTGAGTGCTGGAGTGAAGCGCTGCCCTCCTTTAACATTCAAACGGGGCCCCAGGGAGCACACAGGAGGGCCCCTGTCCCACCGAGGGGCCGCACCGCTCACAGCTCACAGCCATGGAACACTAACCGCAAGTGCGACGGCATGAATCCCAAGTGGGACCCAAGCAAGGTGCCCTTGAGTTAGACAGCATACACCTGCTCAGTGTCTCAAAGTGAATAGGTGCCAAAAAGGGTTCTTTTGAAAAATACTACAGAACACAGGTCTTCAAATGTTGACCCTGAATCCAGTTTCTTAGCCTGTATTTTGTAATGCTTGGTAGTTTACTGACCTGTTGATGTAACTAACAGGCAATAACTGAATAATTCGGACCAGAAAGTAGATTCCAGGTCTGGATTCAAGGAACTCTACCATAGAAGAACCACTTTTGATCTGTTTTGAAGCTTTCAATTCACTTTGCCCTCTTTGTGAACCATTTTTGCAAAAGTGGTTCTTCTATGGCATAGAATGTAACCACTTTTGAAAGTAGTGTTTTCACAACAGGATGTACTATACTGTCATTTCACGGATGAGGTTCGAAAACGGCCCAAAAATGAAGTGTGGAACGCCAAGGTGAAGCAATCAGAGGAAGCTGCAGTTTGAAAACTGAACAACCAAGCAAGACTACTAAAACAAGTTAGTAGCAAAAGTTTTAAAAAGTTTGTTTCTAATTTTCTGTTGTGTAAATAGAGGCTATTCAGGAAGTGATTCAATGGCATTAGTACATGCAGTAATCCGTCATTTCTGTATAATGCAAAATGTTAGCGTTCCACTTTTGATAATATTACAATATTACTAATCCAGGCACTAGAGAGGGAGGTGCACAGTGTGTACTGTAAGAACAAGTGCACGAAGATATTGCTTAGACAATAATGTAAATTTAGACAAATGAGTATTTTCAATAGTCTTGTAACAAACAATTTTACTGTCAAACTGCACATTCAGATACAAAGTACCACATGTGAGTGTAACAGAGCCTGACCCTATAGCTTGCAAATTACCTGTCGGTTATATAATTTCCATATAATTACCAATTGGGCTGGCTTTCAACATCATGTAATAATTTATAATGATAAGACACTAATAACTTATAATGATGAGTGGGTGTTTATTTGGTTTGGAAACCAAAATACTGCCAAACTGGCACCCGTCTTCTAGACAAGCTTGTCCATTTTACTCTCTATTGGAGAGTAGATGCCATGTAGTTTGATCACAGAGTTTCTGTTTCATGTCCTTGTTCCCCATCATTCTTTGCCAGAGTGAAAATCTATATTATAATCTTTCCAAGTGGTGTCCAGAGCATGCAAGTGTATAGTTAAATTAGCTGAGGATCTGTTTGTATAGTCTGTAATTTTGTATACATTTTTGAACTAACCATAGATTAGAATTGTTGCACAAAGGGAATGGTTAAATAAAGGTGCAACTGTAAGAAGTGGAGAAAAAAAAATGATATCAGACAATATCAATTACTGGTCCAAGGCTAATTGTGCCTGACTGTGCCTTGATTTTGTTCTGCTGTGCATTCATTTTTCTCCTTCTAACAGCAGCACTCTCAATAAGTCAGTGTTGGCTGCATAGTGAACAAATATTGTAATATGAACAGAATAGCAAACGGAGCTGCAATTTGTGATGGTAGGTCAGTGGTCATAGCAATAGCTAGGGGCTAAAGTTGGCTGCTGCCATTTAGACCATTAACCCCGAGTTGCTCCAGGGGAAAAGTTCCTGTAGCAGGATAACAATATCAAAAAAGTGGAAAGAAGTGGAAAAAATGTTGGCTGAATGACAAGAGGGTAAGAAGATTTTATGGTTTACATATGAGGAAAAGCTAGTGTTCAATCTTAAATCCTTGCTCTGTGGAAAGAAAAAACATGCTCATACATGTAGATACAGAACGTAAATGTAATTCATTACATCGCTAACGATGTATTACTTAGAATTATGTAACACAAACTGAATGGACAGAAAAACAATAATAATTCTAAAGGTTAAGAACCTTAGGCAAGGCATGATTTGCAACCATGAAGCCCTGTAGCGAAAGGGGCTGCATCCCTGTCCCTCTATCTGTCCTTACAGGCCAAGCCAGTGAGCTAGTTTCTCGAGGCTGGGAATACTATTTTTGCAATGACACATCCATGATACAGAGAGAATCTCGCACATAGATGTGTCTATATAGGCCTACAGACAGAGAAGACGGCAGTGCATTGTCTGAAAGTATAAGGTGAGAGAAAAGATTAGCGAGGAGTGTGACAGTCACCCATTCAGGCCACAGTCCGCTGCTTCTTCACGCCTATACGCCCACTCTGAGCCTACCTCCTTCTATTCTACCGTCCGACAGCTCCCCAATCACAGCCATTATAGCAAACTCGGAACAATCTCAGTCTGTCTGTCGCCTAGTTTTCGGCCTGCACTCCTGTCCACAGGGCCTCTGCCTATTCCATTCGAAATCATTTTGACGCTAGACCATCTGTATTGTGCAGAACGGACCTTTCGGGGCCACAATGTATATGATGTCGCTCTGCTCAATAGCATAACGTTTTGACTGGCTCTCTGTGATCTCCAATGGCCTTTAAATCAAAAAGAGGGCTTAGAGGACAAAAGGGCTGCGTGGAGAGAGAGGATAGTGGGACAGAATATGAGGCCCAGCAGCTGGTTTTGCTGTAATGAAATGAGCAGGCGTTCGGCTGGTCACAGTAGCAAGAGTGCAGAGAACAAGGAACAGTCAGAAAAGATGATAAGAGTTTCTGATTGGGCAATAACAACTGGAGTGGCTGACAGTCAATTGTGAAGCCACAGATGAGCAAAAAGACTAAGGGCCTTCTTGTAAAATATTCAGGTTAACCGTTTCATTCTATTTGAGCTTTGAGATAGTCTTTTAAATTACACTGCCAGCCAAAAATCTGGGGACATCTTGTCTTCTTTTGTGATTTGAATTCTCTGATCTCGCTGTTATGTTTTAGTGAGTAAGTAAAAATAAAATTTATAACATAAAAGAGCTGTTTCCTAATACTAATGGGTATATTTTGCAATGCTTCAATTCATCATATTCAAGTGTCTTCCCTGGTATGAAGAGTAAGAAAACAGAAAGTATTGGAAATAGAGATGGCACAATACCACTTTCCTCTTCTGATAATGATACCGATATTGAAACCTTGAGTATCATCTAATACAGATGCGATATTTCTTCTTTAAAAACTAGCATTAAAAAATGAGCCATTTTCTTTTAAAGCACTTCACTTCAGGATGAGCATCTAAACGTAGGCTAACATGCTCTCTACCACCCCACAGGAAGAAACATGAATAACAACCTCATATCTCACAGTGTGAGTGTGTGTGCTAAATCAGGAGAGATTTGTTTCAGGATTGAACTGGATTATTATATTTTACCCTCCAACATCCAATCCAGCTTTTCCTGTTATGGGTTCTGTGCCATCTTTAATTGGAAACCGCACAAGCCAAAAGGTGGTCAAACAGCTGAAAGGTTTGAGTGTTGATGAGTGTTGACACAACAACAAGGGGATAAAAAGCATGAAGCATGGCACTATTCCCAAGACACAACTGTCACAAATACTGTCAAAATATTTAATATGTAAAGTTTAGGCCTGTGCCTGCTGACTGTTAATTGAGTTGCATTAATTGGCAACAGACCTCAATGATGGTAAAAACTCATTAACCGTTTTTTTTTTGGTTCATTTATTCATTTATTTGTTCGAACCCTAGCAAGAGATTAGTGCTACTACATGTGACCATAACTTATACTGAACTTCATGTACAGTGTATTATTTAGTATATCCTCAGACCACTGTGTCAGGTTTTCAAATGGTTTCGGGCCTTGGGAAGAACGCGGTCATGTCTCATCTCTTGTATAATTGGACAAAATAGCCTTGGACAGTAAACATTCATAATTCTGTTTTTCACTGCAAGATTAATAACAGTTACTCCTGAACAGTTTTTCCTGTTATTATGTTCTTTACTTTGACAAACATTAGCTTCAACTGATTCGCTAATAATGTTTTTGCTTCACTGTCCGCTTTAGTAAATGGGACCATCACAAACCTACCTGAAAAGCATTCTATTATTGGCTCAGGCCTAGATCAGTAATTGCAAACGGACAAAGAACACATGCACAAACCTTTTGAAAAGCAAGGTGGCCCCACTTCATTGCAAAGAGGATCACAAAATACTTATTATTCTGATTTCATTCTCTTTGAGATATTGAACTCATGGATGCAGAACAGTGTGAAGCTGTGAGAGGCAGACCCACTGTAACTAATCTGAGGTCTGCTTCTTCAGCTGACGCTGACAGACTCTAGACATAAGTCAAACTTCATTATGAGAGCAATCCTAGAGCTCGAGCCTGTACAAGAGAGCAGCAGCTCAGCCAGGTCAGAAACCCACACCTAGATGGTTGGCTGTCGCTAGGGCTGTGTAAACTGAGAGGGTGTCTGGAATTGATTGTGTCTGCCAAGGGGGAAACTACAGAAAATCTAAGCTGCCATGTCCAGAGGATCATGGGCCAGTGAATCTGAATCACAATGAGGGCAAGAGAGAGAGAGAGAAAGAGAGGTATGGACAAAGAGAGCATCCTTTACTCACTGTCAATGCCTGTGTGGCAGCAGAATCCAACACAGAGAGTATGTTTGCTTTTCCTTTCAGGATACAGTGTCTGCAGTGGAGCTGGAAGAGAGGTTTGTGGGTTGGAGGGGGCAGGGGGGGCAGGGGAGGAGGGGCAAAAACCCCACAGAAAAGCAGGAACTTCAGGAGCCCTCAGCCAAGATCCTGTACAAACAGAGAGACAAAGAGACAAATATAATGTTAAATATATGTTGCCATTTAAATATATGTTGCCATTGTTATCTTTATTCATTACAATGTCATTAATGCTATAATTGCTATTACTTCTAACTTTGCTATGCTTTGGTAACATCAGCGCAGTCCTTGTTGGGAGGGAGACTGAGACAGAAATAAAGAAAGAGACAGAGAGAGAGAGAGAGATTTAAATATATTAGGATGGAGCTCTGTTGGAAAATTGTAGGTTAATAACCCCACATTTGTGGCAGGAAAGTGCTGGCAGAAGACATGAACTGGTCAGTGACCCGTGACAGAGGAAGACCCACGCTGGCCAAATGTCCTCTTGCAGAAACCTCTCCACTTATTCTTTCTGTCAAAACACACCAGCAAACACGCATGCACACGCTGCAGAGCTCTAAACACTACCAGATGTTTCTGCTAGAGAGCACAACTCCCACCTCCAGAGACAACGAGGAGCAGAACTAGGCTTTCTGAACTCATTAACCCTATTTAATCTCTTTTTCTTTCCCTCATACTCTCTCTCTTTTTTAGTGCTGTTCTTCTCCCAAGCCACTGCAGCTGAGCGTGCGACATGTGCTATACAAACAAAGTTTATTAATACCCTCATTATTAAAACATGACCAAATGATAAGCACTTTCTATATATAGCGACGCTCTCTGCAGCCAGACTGCAAACTCTAGCTCCGAGGCAGCCCAGATCTTACAATATCCAGTAAGAAGCAGATACCCTAGGATCACTGTCAAGCTAGTTTTAGGATTCCGCAGCGCAGGCTTAGCCCGACTCATTAAGCAATCACAGAGTTTTACACACGGCCGTTTATCCTGAGCAGCCCACCCGCTCCCTGAGGCTTGGGGCCACTCACTGAATTTCCCGGAAACGTGTTTGTGCAAAGCTAGCACATTCTGACCACTGCTCGCTGCGCTAACCGCTAGTGACTAATAGCATCTGGTTCAGGCATCTGCCCCAACCTCTTCCCCTTCCACCACTCAATTCAAGATTCTTCATTGGCAAGACCATATTTAGTTACACTGAAGTGTAGACTACAGTTCTAATTGAATATTTGTTTGAATCTAAGGCTGAGCATGAATTGCTCTCCCTCCCCTCTACCCAGGGCCCCCCGCTGTTCGCTTGGAGGGAGTTGAACTGTGGAGCCTCAAAAGCCTCAGCCGAGGCATGAGTTATTCCACTTACTGCAGAATGCAGAGCCTGCAGAGGCAACAGTAAAGACTATGAATTTTCCTTATTTGGGTAGCATCCATAATCTCAACCACATGTGTTTGAACTGCCATCAGCAGCGATATTTAAATGGACCACAAATAACCACTTGCTGTAGAGAAAAAGCTTAATATTTCATCAATAATGGCACAGATATGCGTGAGGCACTTTTAGGATGTGTTTCTGTCTCGCTCACATCTGTTTTGAGAATTGGAGAATTTACTTTGGGCCGGATGCTCCATCACTGGCACCTCCTACGAAATGTTAACATAGCTATGCGGGGATGATGTTAAACAACAATACAGTGTCTCAGGAATCATTTCAAGAAACTTAATAAAAAAACACCCACACTTACACGAGGCTGTGTGTGCATGTGCACAGTGAACAGTGTGTCATGGGAAAAGATCTTTGTCATCTAAAGTGATGTCAGCACTGGCCTAAGTAGCCTCAATGGCACACACATACTCCCACTCAGTTTTTGTGTGCTTGAGCTTGTGTGTGTGCGCATTTCTTCTGTGGTCATTTTAAAGCTTTATTTTAATATTTCAACATTTCGTATATTAATACCGCCCATGTCGTAGAAAAACAAATTTCCGTACTATTTCAAAATAATAAGAGTTGATGTTTAAGCATACCTTTCACTCCCCAGCCTATATAGTCCATACATGAAAACTAAAACTGCTGCAAAACAGGCTGTTTATAATTTATTGTTTTTCTAATGTCACAAAACCCAACACATTTAAATATACTATATAAGCCCCACTCATTTACACTGAAGTTATAAGGAGTGTTTCAGTCAAGACTCTTTTGATAGAGGCACAGTACAGGGCACCTAATCACATCAGAGATCATTTACATATATCACTCTTAAAGGTGCAGCAACAAACGGCATATTTCAAGGAATAAAGAGAGGTGGAAAGTGGTCATATAAAAATATATACTCACACATAATAATATACATAAGGGGAAAAAATAAAATACAAGAAATATGTAGCATGTGGGCCCTTTAATACTCCTAAATGTGTGTATGTGTTTGAAAGCTGTGTCTGTAAAAAGGTTACTTTTAGGAATGGGCATTTCAGTCAAATTATTCAAATTTGTACAGCATTATCTGAAAAATAAACAGACTAAATAATAAAAGGGACTGGGTGTTTCACATGCATTAACTAATTTTCATTTTTCTTTTCAAAATAAGTTCCACATTAGACTGATTAATCAGTTGAATTATACTGATTCTTTTTCTTTTCAGGTGCATTAAGATGTAATTCGACAACACACATGAAAATACAATACATATATACAATAAACAGTATATAACATTACACAACACACAGTATGGGAGAGCCATGGAATATAAAATTACGATTAAGATTTTTTCTTCAATACATTCTTATGAAAGCTGGACATCTTATGGACATATATAATGCTATACACTACTCAGAAGAGTTTAAAAACCTTATCACAACAGCAAAAAAGCTTTTCTTGAAACTGATTGTCTTAGTTTTTAAAGATTTGTAGCGCCTCTCAGAAGGAAGTTAATTTGCTTATCAAAATCCTAATTTAATATTACAGTTTTTACACATTTGTGACTAATGGAAAACTCATATATTCTCACTCATCCCTTGTTATTATCTCATTTGCTTGAACATTTCAGTCTGTTGATTGTCATTGCAGCAACTGAACTCTTCTGGCACAGGCTTATGGCCAAATAACATTTTTTAAATGTATTTTCAGTCTTCCCAGCATGTGTTGTGAAGAAACTGAGTGCAGTGCTTAAACAGAGCACACAGGAAGTGCTCATCATCTGACTCATGTTTATGGTTTTTCATGTGGCTGAAAACAAAGCCTAACTGCTGCCTCTGCTGGTCACTGGTTATAGTGGGCAGGATAGAGGTTTAAGTTTAATGAATAGCTTGAGTAGAATTTGCACAAATCTCTAAAAATGCACAAAAGGTATGCACAAAAGCTTTCTGCAGCTACTGTTTGTAGCTCTGCAATGTGCAAAACCATGCAAAGGTCCATCCTTTACTGATTTAAGTAGAAGTTGTTCTTTTTTTCAGCATCAGGAAAGAAAGCAGAAAACACATTTAACAGAAAAATTACACAAGTCTACTAAATATGACAACTAAATATGACAATTTTTTCAGTATTTTGAGTGTTCACTCTTTGTCTTTATCAAAGCTTCCATTCTTTTCAGGAAACTCACGTTTCATTGTTAAAAATTCAGTTACATCATTTCCCCACACCTCTAACATTCAGTCTTAGAAAGTGGAGGCATTTTCAATCCAAGTAATCCCAAACACATTCAGTGATGAGGTCTTTGGAGTTGAGGACATTGGAGTGACCTGATCATTGTTCTGAGAACAGCATCAGCTTCTTTGTTTGATTAGCAAATTTTCTTTTATTGTCTATTTTCTTTTCTCAGTAACAGCTTCCTGACAGCTACACTTCCTTTCAGACTCATAGTGTTGAGTTGTCTTCTCACAGTGGAAGGATGGACAGACACATTTGTGGGTTTTTTCAGATCTGAAGCAAAGCCCTCTCACTCTCTGTTAAAGTTAAAAGTTTTAAGTGCAGTTTATCAAATGGTGACAGTTTTGGTGTCTACAAGGTTTTGTACAGTCGTTAGGAGTCTGCTTTTCTCTATAGTTTCAGAGTTTTGGAGTCCTTTTTTTCTTCTGTCTTCTTTTGATTTTCTTCTTCCTTACACAAGCAAATTATCTTACATCTAATCTCAGAATTATCCTGTGAAAAATGAATAACTTGTATTTAATGGTCATTTTGAGCGTAAATGTAATAAATAATGTCTCTTTTGTCCCGTTTTATGTGTGACAGCATGTTATACAGTGTTAGGAAGCAAGACTTTTTAAGATTACTTAACAACTCGCGGTTTGAGGAAAGTGCAGCTTGCACAAAGGGGTATAAGCTTCTATCATCTGTTAGCTACATTAGTCTCATAGCTCCAGTGTAAAACTAAAGAAACTTAAGACACCGAACACTTCTTGGCTGACTGACTACATTAGTGGTGTATAAATCTATCGTGTTTTTCTTTTAAGCGAGGACAACTGCAAATGTTCAGCAGGACAACTTTGTTTAGACTCTACACAGTGGGTTGGGCTATGATGAGATATGAGCGTGGGCTGAAGGGGCTCTATAGGCGAGGGTTAAAGGTTTATGGGTTTAGGGCTGAAGGGGCCCTCCAGACGAGAGTTCACACTGTTCAGACCGTATGGCTTTAGGTTAAAGTGGCCATACAGGCGAGAATTTAGGTTAAAGCCACGTTGTAGGTGACAGTTAGGGTATAAATCACGAGTGTAAATGATGAGCTCTATCCCAGTTAACGAGAGTCATGTGACCTCTGTTTTCTCATTTGCTTTTAATAGGCCCAGAGGAGCTCACTGGTATTTAGATGTGCCTCATTGCCTTAAAGATCGCCTCTACATCTTTTCTTCTCTCTCTCTCTCATTCTCTCTCTCTCTCACTCTCTCTCTCTCTCTCACACAGACATGCAGATTCCTTCCCACTTTCCTATCTCTCTTCACAGGAGAGTGTATTTGTATGCATTAGGGCAGTGCAACAATTATTAATCATTATATCAGTATTGGTCTCTGAAATATCAATATTGCAAAAGGTTGCAAAAATGTGTAATAGCTATGTGCATGGGTAGTCGAGTACTCAGTTAACCGTTCAAAGTATTCAAAGAGTCAAATCACCACTCTTTGTTTTCATCACAGGAAAACAGAAAATTCAG